CAGCGTTTGAGATACAGTCTGGCGGGTCTGCCTTCATGAATCCAAATGATATGAAGTCAATGAGACCGGATGAACGATGTAGACTATTTTTCTGAAGAGATGTCACCTCGAGCTTTCAGTGTCATTTTCTCAAAAGGCTTGCTTAGTCTTTCGAGCAAAGATTTGCTGTGTTTATAGCTGTGTATAAATTAGGTAAGTTTTTTCGGTACTCTCAGCAGACATCATTCTTGTTATACAAGCTACATTGAGCTACTGAGAATGAAGACCATCATTGTTAAGAAGATGAAAAAAATTTCCTTTTCCAGAATAAGAATTTTGTCTGCTTACCGATAATCCACCTGATGGATCGCCAAACCTCTAGCAACTTTTGGATGACGAATTTTGTTTTTGGTGCTGGGCTGAGGTTTTTTCCCGCATATTTGAACTATTTGGGTTTTAATCCATTGTGGTGAGTCTGTGACGGGAGATCTGAGTTCAAATAGCACACATTTATTCACAATGTAATTACGCAACCGAGAGAGCTATGCTAGGTTGATTTTGAAGTTTCTGTGTGCTCGTTGATTTTTCTCTTGTCCATACTACCTTGACTGATTCCAAAATTTTACACAAAGATAATGTTGCCCGGATGGGCGAACTTCCCATGTTTTCTAAATATTTTGCCGATTATAAGGCGAATTTCTGGTCAGGGGTGCTTCATCCGGACCTGAACCTCCCCCCCTCTGCTGCTCTCTTGAATCATGGAGTCATTACCCCCGCTACACCTTTTTTCTAGCACCTTGTGAGGACTTTTCCTGCGAGATTGAATAAGTTAATGTGCGGATAATTAGGCGAGTCCCGAAGGCCTCCTTTCTAAAACAGGGGTGCTACAAGGGGGTTCTCCAGTCCGCTGGTGTCTTACGCCCTAACCACAGCAGTTTCACGGACATATGTATCCAAACACAACCCTGTTCACCATATGCTGCAAGTATTTCATGGCGGATTTCGTCGATTCCACCAGCCCTGCTACTATTTAAAGTTTTACCTTTTCTGAAAATTCATTGGCTGAAGCATTAATATGGCATCTATGACTGTCTTCGGCCGACTCGACCTGTGGTTGCTCTTGGCTACAGAGTTTTTAACATACAGTGTTCAACGCTTAAATATATTCTCTTCGAGAGAAAAAAGGTTCAAAAATTTGTCTTTCCGATATTCTTAGACTGCCTTTTTTCCATCTCTGAGGTGGTGGGTGGTTTGACAGAGTCATTTCATTGCCGTCTGGAAATTCAATTCGAATGCCTCCCTGAACTTCTTCCAGGAATCTGTTCTATGTTTCGCCGCTGCTCTTGCTACCGCTTTCATTGTAACGCATTCGAGGTTAGGATTCCTTGCTTTAAAGCACTTTTTGCATACAACCTTCAGCTCGCTGACATGCAGTTGAACAAACTAGGAGAAACTTTGCTTTTGACCCTTCGGCGACAGGCAAGTCCGTTTCAAAACCGCAACATTTGACGATAGCACCGTGTAAGTTTTAACGCATTCAGCATCATCACTGGTATATATTCCAACAGTCACGCAATCTTGTCTGCTAGTTTAGTCTTGCATCCGTAGAAGATAATGTTTCCCGTTTAATTCTGTGGTTGCTGCTGCCACCAGATCTTCGCATGGTACTCCGTTTTTTACAGCACAGCGTGCCAACAACAAGGTGGTGATCGTCTGATGGCTCTGCGTCTCTCTCGAACATCCATTACAGAGCGTAATAAGTCAGAGAATACGATTATCAAATTGATCATCGAATTCTGTGTACAAGCTTCCCTGCGCGAAGTCTACTGATGCACTCTTCGATGCTCTCATAACAGACAGTCCGCTGTTCGTACAAAACCGCCATTACTTTGTAACATCATTTTTGTGACCTCTAGAGCCGTTCTTTCCAATCACGCCTTTCCACTTTTCAGCGTCTCTTCCGACATACACACATTCACGGTAACGAGAGACTCCATTCGTACAGAGCACTTTCAACTTTTTCCAGGAATGACCCATATTCTCCTTCACAGTTCAGCAAATAAATCTGTGACAAAGTCGGAGCTCTAGCCTGTTGGATTTTCAGTCAGATGATTGTCACTCTTCCGCTGATAGACATCTATTCAATGATCCCATTGGCGAAAATGGGTTCACCCAGAGCACCAATATCGGCCTCAGGGGCACGACGTGATGTCGGTAACTGATCAGTACAGACTACACCTGCAGAGGTTAAGAATTCCTGAGCTTTTTCGTTCAAAAAACAGTTAAACGAGAGTTAAAATATTTCGAGTCCTTGTGTAGCGACCTCATCAATTAGCTTTTATGCTTTTCCTCTTAATGCATAGTTATTCCAATTTCTAACTGTAAGCTCTTACTCTTATTATTGTTCCCATGGATCTTTACCGGATCTGCCATAATGGTATCGTGCGATGTGCTTCCTCTGTTCAGAACAGGCCGTGGATCCGCACTCTTACTTGCACTTTGAGTGGTATTTTTATCGTGTTTTGTCTGTTGTCGGCAGACGACGTCTTGCTGATACGCTCCATGTTGCGAGTAAATGTTAGCCATTTTCTGATCACCGACCTTTCGCAGCTCACCCTTGTTTCTCAAAAACCTTCGCGACCGTTGGCAGCACGACTGACGACCTAGCAGGAGTTCCATTCGCTGGTGACAAATGCCATCAGAGATAGGTTTGGTGTTCTGGCGGGAGACCTCGCTACGGTTTCCAATTATCCTCCTTTCTCAGTCAGCCTTGGTACCAGTAACGGCGGAGTTTAAATCTCATCACTGCTGTACAAGCCCTTATTTGCCACTAGGATAAAGAGTTTGCCATTTTCAGGTTCTTCTTCAGCGATGTTTTTGCTTTCCTTGACGGATCCGTTATCCTTGGTTAGCATGGCGGTTTAAATCCAAAACGCTCAAAGTTGCATCAGGACAAATCCGCGGTTCCGGCTTGCCATATTGAGATATGGGATGCGCATCGATCTTGCTCCGGAATCAACCTGATAACGGCTGTGCTCTCCTTGAATCCAAAATAACTGTTTAAGTTAGAAAATTAAAATTTCTGTTTAGATAAATAAATATATTTCTAAGCTTTATTCTAGAAGAAAGCAGTGCCTAGAAATTCTTTAAATTTATTTTAACGAACACCTCTTATATTGGTTAGTAGTTTTCTTTGTACTCTATTGATGCAATGCCAGATTCAGACTCTACGGTCGTCGTAAATTTTCTCTTATCATCTTCAGTTCACTCGAGTTAGATATTGACCAAACACTACTTCGGTACAGCCAGTCGAAAACGGATAGCAGTTCGTTAACCTGCGAATAATGAGAATATCATGGTGTTTTGATGCGATCATGCGTGAAAGACATGTAGTTATGTTATCTGATGCCCCCCGCAACAAATCATCTTGATTCAATTGAAAATTTTTTAAAAATTAGCATATACAAAGTTTGTAAATTTGAAATGAAGGCAAACTTTTTAAACACTATTTTTTTCATTTTATTAATAGTATTCTTATTGATGTCTGCGTTTCTGCGTTGTTTAAAACAGATTCTCTACTATTCAGTACGAATTTTGACCATTCTTTATAACTGTCTGCCATTTTTGTCAGCTTTAATAACAACTTTAACTAACTAACAAACTTTATTCTTTAACAACTTAACCATATTCATTGAACTTTCGATATATAGTACAAAAATGATCGGCATGTCAGAAACACAATTCCTGACATTTATACCACTTGATTGCTAAAGTAAGTGATAACAATTTTCAACGGTCTAAAATCTTCTTCACTGGTCATTCGTTGTGCGGCCGAAACGTTGATAGCTGTTACGAAGGATTCTTAACATAACCATTGTCTTGGGCGCTAAATCGTCGAAAAGGAAACTTAGAAAATTTGCCTACCACGATTTTTGCAAATTTTATGAATAACTTTTGTCATAGGATTAATCTCAATTCTTTTAATTAAATTTAGAAGGTTTTCAATGGGAAAATTTCTGAAGTTACCATAAAAGCAGAGATTTTTTTTCATGTGCTGATCATAATATCAAACTAAATCCAATCGGCCGTTGATTTATGTACGATCTATGAAAAGTACAAGGAAAAAGTCGAATAACAATCGTTTTACTGCTGCTAATGATGAAAAAGACGAAAAGCTATCTCTTTAAAAAAAGGCGGTAAAAGTCAAAGATAATCAAACATCTTTCAATAGCAAAGTCAAACATGAAGTCTTATTTTGATAATTCCGACAAAAGGAACACTGCGGAAAGAATACAAACATTTCTTGCTAGTACAAGATTTTTGCTTTTAGAAAAGAATTCTTTTTATTCTATTTACGCAATGCAACAAAAATAGTGATGAATATACTCAACGGGCGAAAACTTAATATTTCACAGCTATAGTATAGTTTTGTAGTCATTGTAAGATTCCTGATCATGTCATAGAGAACTACAAAAACTTCCACATCGATCTACAGTAAAATAAAAAGGTTGTGCACAACTCTGCTAGTGCAGTTCTATGTTATGCCAATCTGTTGTGTGAATAATTGTTTGGTGTATGTCGATCAACTTTTGGTTCATTTGCAAATTACTCCTGGTTTAATACTTGAAATATTGTAATGTTTGCTTCGCATGAAACTTGACGCTATTTGTTGTTTTCCTGATTAGTATATGATCTGAGGAACTGGTGGTCGTTTACTTTATTGAATCGGCCAGTCATATTTTGATCTTCCGTCAAGATCTGACGCATAATGTGTGAGCAAATCCGCGGTTTCATTCTCACGATCCATAAAACTGTTTGCGGTTGTCACTGTTATCTTTCGTCGTGTGACTTCCTCGCCATAATGCGGCTGTGGTGTAATGATGAACATGGTGATTGTTACGGCCAGAGGTCTTCGGTGTACGACGCGTTTTCGTTGCCGATTCCTCAAGCAACGATAGTGTTTTTACTTAGTGCCAGACGCCGAAAAACGAAACCGGCTTGTCGTGTTCGGACGTAATTACGCATTTATTATCCTTTTTCGCCGGCACTTCCTGTGTCTTAAATTGGCCGGTGCGATGTCCGGCTGCTGGGGGTCGTCCATTCGGACGGTTGACGGTGGCCGAGCCGTCGTCTGCCAAACGGCATCTAATCACTCGCTGTAAATTGCTGTTTTTCCGTCCGCCGCTGATTTTTGTGCAGATGAAAGTCGGTGTGAAAAAGAATCGGCCTATTATCCGTTGACCAAACGGAGCAGATGAGAACGCAGCGTCAACGGGGATGATATTGGCACAGTGGTACTCTCTGTTTCCGCAGGTTGTGATAGGCGATGGTCGGACGATGTTCGACGAACGAGCGTGTCGCTGCGTGATTCGAAGTTAACGTTCTTTCGGTGGCTGGCTGCCAGATGTCGCACTACGCCGAGTGAACGTCATGAGGTTACCCTCGGTATATGTGACGTATGTGACAGTGACGCGCAGTTAAACGGACCGCCTGTAGCATGCAGCTTCGCGGATGTAAATATCACTATTTATTCGAGAATAGTCTGCTTGAACATCCGTCAGCTTTGCATGCTGAAAATTGCCTGCTTACTATGACTGTTGCTTTTGTCATTAACGATGACGATT